GACCTGAAAATTAGAGCAAGGAGGATAACTGCAGTGCAGTAAGCCCAGAAAGTGCCAGTTCAGACTGTGTTTCAAGAAGTAATTCGTGAAGGTATCAAACTGTTAAATTATCTAATACATCTATAATAAAAATACTGAGAAGTTTAAGCAAACATAGAAAAAAGGAAATAATTAATTCTAGGAATAAATAAAAATTTGCACAAATAATCATAGATATTACCTGGCATAATAGTGAATAACACTTTATGTGGACATTATAACAGAAATATGAAATTTTAAGCAAACCAATAATTCTGATATAATAATTCTGAAAAAACAGGGAAAGGCATGGGTGAAGGGAATATAAAAAAGATAAATCCTAGCTAACAATAATGATAAATAGATAAATTATAAATTGAGACCTCAATAAGTAGGAATAAAAATATGTTGTTTAGAAATATGAAAATATATACCAGAAAAACTAGAAGTGAAAGATGTTTGGGGGTGAGAGAGTGAGTGAAATGGAAAGCTGTTTTTCTTTTAATTTAACTGGAAATTTTAAAACTATGTATAAATACAACATGGACATAAATAAATAAATAAACTTTTTTAAAAAAAACTATTGCCATATTTAGATAATTTTCAAAAACAGCCACAACTTAAAACCTAACCATACCTCCTGTAAATTTTGGTCTTCTTGAGTCCAAGAATTTAAAACATGTGCTCCAGAGTCACTCACAATGAAATTCACCTAATAGATGTCAAAGAAACAATTAATATTCAACTATAATTTTACTTAACCACCATACTTTAATATAATATGCAATTTCTACCACTGGTTCATTGTTTAATTCATTCATTTTATAATAACAGAATGCCTAGCTTATACCAGGTACTATTCTTAGCAGTGGGGACATGGTACTATAGGGATGGATGAAACAATTCTGTCACAATGTGGGGGAAGTCTAGAATGGGGAATGTGATAAAGTAAGGAGCATTGCAACAAGAATACAAATTAACATGATAATTTCAGAGAGTGATAAATGCTATAAAAAACAGTTGTTAGCTACTCTAGATCCGGTTGTGAGACACAGGCTCTCTATAGAAAGTGGCAATCTAGAGAAAATTAAAATGACCAAAGGAAACCAGCCACTGAAAAAAACAGGCATAGAGAATTCCAGGTACAGCAAACAGCAAATGCAAAAGCTGATAAGTGTGTACCCTTAGAAGAGTTTAAAAAAATATAAAAAATAAAAAAAATAAAGAGTAAGCAGAGTAGCAGGAAAAAAGTTCAAACAAATAGGGCAATAGCCTTATCTATAGAGCACTCAGTAATTCAGACCACTGAAAGCCAAATAATAGATTTGAAATACATTATTTTTACTAAAGTAAAAAAAAAAAAAAAAAAAAACATTATTGGGGCTGAGACTATAACTCAGTGGTAGAGCACTTGCCTAGAATGCGAAAGGCCTTAGGTTTGCTCCCCAGCACCACAAAAAACTACCAGGTAGGATGATGATAAGGAATATATTAGAAAATATATCAAGTGATTATGTCACTTTTTGAGAGGAAGAAGAAATTTCTTTCTTTCCCCTGGATGATATGATCTTTTTTCCCTAATATACATGAAATGCTAGTTTCCTTCTTTAAAGAAAAGTTTTGATAATCTGTCTTTTCTCCAATGTTTATCTGACAGGAATAAATTTTATAGCCACTTTATTAGATTATCTCACTTAACTCTTACAGCAAGAAAATAGGTATAATACTTACATAGGAGGAAACTAAGGCTTGGAGAGATTAAGAAATATTATCCAAGTCACACTGCTGGTTGCCAGATGCCAGGATTTGAACTGAAGCCTGTGCCTAAAATCAAGATGCTATTCTTCCCCTCATTATATATCTATACAGGATGCACAAAAATTTCAAAAGGGCCAGGTGCCACAGCACAAGCCTGGGAGCTAGGGAGACTGGGCAGGAGGAGGATCATGAGTTCAAAGCCAGCCTCAGCAACGATGAGATGCTAAGCAATTCAGTGAGACCCTGTCTCTAAATAAAATACAAAAAAAAGGGTGGGGATGTGGCTCAGTGGTTGAATGCCCCTGAGTTCAATCCCTGGTACCCTCCCCCCCCAAAAAAAATTATAAATATATAAGAAACTTATTTTTTAACTTGGAATATATCTGAATGCATAATGTTGGACTCTCTATATTCACCTTAGCTGTGACTATGGTATCTTTGCCAGTCTAAGAATTGGCTAGGTCCCAGCCCAGGCTGCTACAAATGAGACAGAGAGCATATCATCCACTTGTGGCTAACCAAATGACTTTCCCAAAATAAAACATCTGAGATAATAAAACCTAAAGAAAACTTTCAATACTTAAAATTTCTATTAATCATCAATTTCTCTTCTTGATATAAAAAAAATTCCATTTAGCATCATTTTTTCTCTTTCCTTTTCTTTTGGTGCTGGGGATTAAACCTAGAGCTTCCCAATGAGCTACACTCTTAACCCCAACTTAGGTATTTTAAGAGCATTTCTTTTTAAGTTGGGCAAATCCTAAGCAGTTTAGTATATATTCTTTAGAATGGCAAGCAGCCAGTCTGCTCAGATTCAGGTTCTGGCTCTATCTCTAACTGGCTATGTGACTAGGGACAAGTTTCTTTACCTCAGTTTTTGTATGAACACCACAACTGTAATAAACAAAACTGATATACAGCTGGCAACATACCAGCACAAGTAGAGAAACTGCTTATAGCCAATGCTCCTTCTGCTTGGGCTCCCATAATTCTCAATGGTCAGTGCTTGTTCCATATTAGTTGTTACATATTAAAATTGCCTCAATACTTATGGCACCTACTTCATCTAACTGTTGTGACAATCAAAGGAGCTAATAAATATAAAGCACTTTGAAACATGTCTGGCACATGTAAGTGTTCAATAGTTACCAGCTGTTATTACTGGTTCCAATTAAATATCTATAATATATTTATCCCAAATAGCAGTTCTGTGTGCATTTTAAGTAGTAAATAAATAGTTCTAAGTCAAATCTACAACAAATTTATTTACACAGTTAAGTATATCCCCCCATATCATAAATTTTGTTTGTAATGTATACTCACCAGCTTTTTAAATGGAAATATATCATACATTATTCTACAGTACTCCATCGAAGATTCTACTGAACAAGTCCACAATGATTTAGAGATTGGGGCCAGAGGGATGATTCCTTGGGTTCTATTCTTCACCAGCATATCAAACTCCACATGCTGTCTGCATGATTCTGCCATATAAGGGCAGTGATCCACAACAAATACTGTTTTATGAGATTCAGAAAAAATCTTCATTTTTAACCTATATGGGGAAATGTACATTAGTTAAATGGTGATATATAACATGTAATATCTTAAATTATTTCTAACTAACAGGACTTTTCCACAAAAAAAAATTGGTAGGAGATATTAAAAATATATTCAAAGAAATTTGTCCAACAAAGGAAAAGTTTAATGACAATGTTTACCAGGGTTAGGACCAGAAAGCAACTGGGTCAATTCAAATGAGACTGTCACTTTACCAAGAAAGTTACATTCCATAATTTTTTTATTTTTGCTTTTCAAAATAACTTAAAAAATTGTCAGAAAAAAACATTTGATATATAATTGTATCTGATTCCCTTATATTTGCCAAACATGAAAAATAATAAATACTCTTCAAATACACTTTTGGTTATCCTAATTGACATTGATATATAAAAACCTCTAAGTCAGCAATTTTGAGCTTCCCTCCAAAAACAAACAAAAAAGTTTCAAGACTTCTGAAAAAGGTGAGTGGAGTGAGGGAAAACTAACAGTTAAGGAATGTGACAGCAAAAGTAAAGCCCAAAACATAATAAACAACTCCTAAGATAACTGCATATCGGGTCTTCGTATTAGGATAAGGACCCCAAACTCATTCTTCTTCTTAACATTTGATAGACCACAATAATTTCCATGTAGAACAGAATAACTTGGTTGCTACAATTACACTGTTGGGGAAAAGGAACTTTTTAAACTTTTTCTTATTAAAACAGAGCATGAGATACTCTCTTACTTCACTAATAAAATACTAAATAGACAAATCCACATTCCAAAAGCACATGTTAAGCAGAGGAAAAGTGTTCATCAAAACGAACTGTCTTTTTACGACCGCTATTTTCTTCTGTTCTCAAAACACATCTCCCCTTCATGCAAAACTCTCTTTAAGAAACCTCCTAGACACACTCTGCCGGGGGTTGGGAAGGGGGTAATACAAGGTGAGTGGATAGGGAAGACCTCAAAATCGAGGTTGGCTTACTTTCGTGCCTGGTCCTGCAGTGAAAACGAACAGAGGCTGTGCCTCTCTGGCAAAGGCTGCTGGCTGGGAGGGTGGGAGAATCAACGCACAGTCAGGAGTGTCTGGTACCAAAACCAGGGGACTACGCTTTCCCCGCACATCTCCAGAACACCGGTCCTTCCCAGGCTTCCTAAATGCAGGAGTGCGCGCGTGCGCGTGCACATACACACACACTCACACACTCGGGCTCGCGCGTGCGCAAAGCACTCTTCGACAGCCCCGCCAAGCTTCTCTTCCTCCTCCAAGGACCGACGCACAAGACGCCAAACAGGAAGAGGGCGGAGCCAATGAGAAAAAAAAAATTGCCTCCAACCTCGAGATGTTCTACCCACTAATTTACCCAATCACCCTTTGGGAAGAATGATTCGGGCGACCTAAGAGTGTCCCCAAAAGTGAAGTACCAACCACAGCACCGCTGAACAGGCCACAACCCCTTAGGTTTAGAACCCATGGGCTTAGCACCCACCCTCCCGCGTCTGCTTTTCTGCCTCTTCACCTAGGCCCGTTGCCCCTGGAAAAACACGCGAGACTTAGCGAGAAGACGAGCTAAAACTAGAGTGGGTAAATAGGGAGGGACACAGGAAGGCCCCGCCCCTACCTCTCCCGCAAATCAGCGGCGAGCGGCCGGCTCTGCTCCACGGTAACGCGAGGGAGGAAATCTCGCGAGACTGGGGCAGTCAGGGAGCGCTCGTCGGGGACGGTCGGCGGAGGTTTATCCCGGGTCAGTGATGGGGCTGAACCCCGCTGACTTGCCAGTTGTCTGTTCTGTCTCTGTTGGATTCTGCGTCTGCTCGCTGAAGACGCGGAACAGGGGTGCGGAGTCTTTTCCTTTGGGTGCTTAAGACCCGGTCGTCAAAGGTTCTAATCTGCATAGCCGACGGCTGCGAGGGATTGAGAGCGCAGTAAGTGGTATAAACCCGGGGACCAGAGCGGGCGTAGGCGAGTCGGAAGCTTACTTTGCCTGTGGGCTGCCTCGGTGCGTGCCCCTTGAGAACCACCGGCTCTTTGGCCCCGGCCACTTCGCAGTCTCAGCTCTTGGGAGCCAGCCTGGTGCTTAGCTTTGAGCTCCTCTTTCCGGAACGGAGATACGGAAAGTTTATTGGAAACTCTCGGCCCCAAACCTGTGGACGCACCGTACCATCCGTATTTGTTTTCTTCTCTTCTTACCCACCTTGAGGGTTAGGGAAAGGGACCCTTTTTCCTCCAGTTTACCCCTTTGCAGTATTTGCCGCAGATGACCATTCCCTTCTTGAAACCGCCCTCCAAGAGATATTACTTTTTTTCTGGTTTTCATCTTTATTCCATCCTAGATACTGATACTAACACCAGTATACGTCCTAACATCCAAACTAGAAACCCAAGAATCCACAGTTCCAGTTAAACTGCACTGTATTGTTTCTTCTTTCACCAGAATTATTGCACCTACCCCAAACTAGTTTCCCCGTTAACATCCTTACAGTTCTGGCATACGTTTTGTTTACATCTCTCCTTAAACTTTTCAAGTAACCGTATTGCTGACAGAATCAAGTCCTAATTATCAAGCATGTCATTGAGGATCTTTTACAGTCTGTCTCAATCATATTTTTAGAGTCTCAACTTGCTTCTTCTCCAAATACTTTAACGTCCAACCATACCAGACACTGGCTGTTTTTTCCAAAAGTGCCGTGCATTTTTCACAGCTCTTTCTCTTTATAGGACTGTAGCATCTGTCCCTGTTTGCCATTTATCAAAACTTAATTCGTGGATTTTCTCAGACTCCCCCAGGTGACAAAGCGCTTCAGATAGTTTGGTGGTATTTATTAGGAAGTATTATTTGTTCATTTATCTGTCTGTTCTGCGAACTTGAAATTGAGTCTGAAATGTCATTTCATCTTTGAAACAGAATTTAGTCCAGTGCTTGGCACATTATTTATATGTACATAAGTATACATATTTATAATAGTTCTAAAAACTTTACCGCGGGAGTTTTTAGTTCCTTAAAAGCATGGAATTTTAAGACCCAGAAGGAACCTTGTATATTTGCTTGAAGGCCCCTGCCTATTTTGAATATGAGCAATCCCATACTCCTAATACGTATGTAATTGTAAAATTTTAAAATTATTGGTTGATTGGAATTATAATAGAAAGTGAAAAAACCCTATGCTTTCAAATAATTTTGTTTTATTATACTATTATATTTGAAAAGTAGTGGGATTATATGTGAGAGAAATGTCTTAGACTGTTTGCAATGCTTCCTGTGTGTGCATTCATATAACTGTGCCGCTGACTCCTTGGCCTATAGGTTAGAAACAATGGGTTTAGATTAGGTTGGTTCCTTTTGGAATTGCTATAACTGTTTGCATATGTGTATATGAAACTTTTGTTTAATCGTGATTCTAAGGATATTTTATTATGGCAGGGGGTGGTTACTGGGGATTGAACTCAGGGGCACTCAACCACTAAGCCACATCCCCAGCCATTTTTTGTACTTTATTTAGAAACAGGGGCTCACTCAGTTGCTTATCACCTTGCTGTTGCTGAGGCTGGCTTTGAACTCAAGATCCTTCTTCCTCAACCTCCAGAGCCACTGGGATTACAGGCCTGCGCCTTTTTTTGGGGTGTTGGAAATTGAGCCCAGGGGGACTTTACCACTAAGCTAAGTCTCCAGACTTTTTAATTTTTTATTTTGAGATAAGTTCTCACTAAGATGCTGAGGCTGGGTGCTGGGGTTGTGGCTTAGCAGTAGCGTTTGCCTAGCATGTATGAGGCCCTAGGTTGGATCCTCAGCACCACATATAAATAAATAAATTAAATAAAACTTAAAAAAAATACTGAGGCTGGTCTTGAACTTTCAGTCCTACTTCATTGGGAATATAGATGTGCACCACTCTGTTGGGTCCAAATGTATACGATTTTTCTAAAAATCTTCCAGCATTATTCCTTTCAAATTCTGTTCTGTCCAACTTTAAAAATTAATTTTCTTTATAAAGCTCCAATTATGTTCACTGCACCAATGAAAATTTTCCGTGATTTCAAATAGTGACATGTATGTCTGTATAATGCTTATTTTTATGTGTAATTAAATGCATAATTCTTGATCTCTTAAGATTATGAGCTTTGGGGGCTGGGGATATAGCTCAGTTGGTAGAGTGCTTGCGTAGCATGCACAAGGCCCTAGGTTCAATCCCCGGCACCACCAAAAAAAATAAATAAAAATAAAAAAAGATTACTTACTTTTCTGAAAGACATAACTATGCCTTTTTATTTTTCTATCTCATGTGTCAATTAATGTTATCTACTAATTGTCATTAGAGGTGTCTACTTGGACAGTTAAAAAAAATTTACACTAAACTGACATTTAAAGACATCTGTGGTATATCAGTAGTCACTATAAGATAGTAGATTTCTGGATAAAGGAAACAGATGAGTGACCTGAATTTTTTTAAATTTTCCTTAACCAAAAAGAAGTCTATAAGTAAACAGCTGGCAATTGCTGTCTTGGGTAGGTGGCAGTTTCTTTTTTACCAGCAGCAGAATGTTCTTGAACCATCTGCCAGGAATCTTGAATGTACATGTTTGGTAGCAAGAGTGGGTGAGAAAATGGCTAATGCAGGAAACACACCAAAAAAACTTGTTTAAAAAAAAATTTCCTGCAATTTAGACCTACCTATAGAAAACAATGTAAACATTTTGTGACTAGTTAAAATAGGTAGGTACTATGAAAATAGGCAGATAAGTTAAAAGTACAACTTTTTTTTTTAACTGAAGGCTATTTTTTAAAAAATTGAAACTTGTTAGTTTGAAAAGTACTTCTTCCACTCTACTTATTAGACAAAGAAAGGGAGGAAATAATTTTTCAGGAAGAATAGCAAAGTAAATTAATATTATTAAATATTTTACACTTTTTTGGTCTCACATACAGGAAATGAACATGCAAATTCTAAGAAACTGTGTCACTGTTTTTCTGAAATGGTAATAAAATTATCCTTTGAGCTGCCTGCTATTTACAGTTTCTTTCCCTGAATAGATGTTTTTATAATTATGAACAAATTTTAAGTATAGTTCATTTTGATAGTGTTTCATTATGCAGCCTAGAGAATGTTTTTTAAAGTAGATGTTAATTATAATTTTTAAAAGTCTATGGATAAACTTTTGTTGCTTAATTAACTGTAAGGTCTAATTAAAATGGTTCTTAGGCTTGTGTTAGTTTCATGAAAAAAATTTTGAAATTTTGTTTGGTTTTGGTACTGGGATTGAACTCAGGGGCACTCAACCACTGAGCCACATCCCCAGCCCTATTTTGTATTTTATTTAGAGACAAGGTCTTTCTGAGTTGCCTAGTGCCTCACTTTTGCTGAGACTGGCTTTGAACTAGTGATCCTCCCACCACAACTTCCTGAGCCACTGAGAATACATGCGCCACTGCAGCAGGCGAAATTTTGTAATTTTTTTAATATAAATTGTTCTTAGGCATTCTTGTTTATTTCTTATGGCTATCTTGGAAGTTCATTGATTTGTTAGAGTCAGGGAATTTGCTTTGTTTTTCTACCTCTGCAGGTCAAGATGGTTTCCATATAAGTGAAAGCAAATAAGACCTTGTGAATCCAGCCTGGCTCAAGAATAAAACTGGGATCGGAAGATCTATTTCTGGTACTAGCTGGGCTCTTTCACTGGGTTCCTTATATTGGTAATTATTAAGTCTATTTTCTTTTCTTTTTGGGGGGTATTGGGGATTGAACTCAGGGGCACTCCACCACTGAGCCACATCCCTAGCCCTGTTTTGTATTTTATTATTAGAGACAGGGTCTCACTGAGTTGGAACTGGCTAAATTGCTGAGGCTGGCTTTGAACTCTCCATCCTCCTGCCTTATCCTCCTGAGCCACTGACATCACAGGCGTGTGCCACCCCACCGGGCCCCTAAGTCTATTTCTTATTGGTAAAAAAGGAATGATAATACTTGTCCTGCTGCCCAATTAAAGTGGTACTCCTCAAATTCCGAAAGCTACCATCAGTTTGAATGAATTATCACCAGCATTTTGATTTTTGTTCTAGAGTACTCCAGAAGTCTGGGTTGAATTAGATTGAAGAGAAGGCTAAATATAGGTAAAAACAATTCTGAAGAAAAAGCAATGACTTAGCAAGGGTTTTAAAACTATTAAAACTGAGGCAATTGGGTATTGATGATAGACAAATAGCCATTTTAATAGGGTGGTAAAAAAAACACATCATGGTTTTAGTTGAATATCTTTAATAAGCACATCTTTTCATGTGCCTATTCACCATACATGTTTTTTTAGTTAGTATTAAAGTCTTTTGCTCATTTGCTTATTTTAAAAACTGTATTCTTAGAATTAGTTTTGAGAGACTTTCATTGTAAATACAAGTCTTTCATCAGATATGTGATTTGAAAGTATTTTCTTCCAGTATAGATATAGCTTGTGTTTTCAGTCTGTCTTTTTTTTTTTAAAGAGAGAGAGAATTTTTAATATTTATTTTTTTGTTTTTGGCGGATACAACATCTTTGTTTGTATGTGGTGCTGAGGATCGAAACCGAGCCGCACGCATGCCAGGCAAGCGCGCTACCGCTTGAGCCACATCCCCAGCCCCATTCAGTCTGTCTTAATGGTGTTTTTCCTTAGTTGTAATTTTAATGAAGTTCGGTTTATCAATTTTTCTTTTAGGAGTCATGCTTTGGTAAACATCTACAAAAAATCTTTGTTTAACCCCAAGTTACCAGGATTTTCTCCTCTTGTTTCTTATAGAAGTGTTACGTTTAACATTTAAAACAGTGTTCCATTTTGAGTTAATTTCTGTATAAAGTGTAAGAATTGTGTTGAGATTAGTTTTCTGGCTTATGGATGTCCAGTTCTTCAACCATTTGTTGAAAAAACTAACCTTTCTCCTTAGGCTTGCCTTTGCACCTTTTCAGATATCAATTGACCATGTTTCTGTGGGCCTATTTCTGATCTCTGTTCTGTCTCTATCAATACTACAACTGTCTTGATTTCTGAAGTAAGTCTTAAGTTTTAGTGAGATTTTTACAACTTCAGTTTCAAAATTGTTTTGTCAAGTCTATCTTTACATTTCCACAGAAATTTTATAATTGGCTTGTCCATTTCTGGAAAAAAAAAATTGCTGGGGTTTTGATTGGAAATTGCGTTAAATCTGCAGGTCATTTGTGGAAAACTGATCATCTCTATTACATTGAGTCTTTCAATCGTTGAACATAGTTGTGTTTCTCCATTTATTTAGGTCCTCTTTAGTTTCTTTTCATTAACTTTTTGTAGTTAGCATGTAGACATTACATGTATTTTGCTTCCTTTTTACCCAAGAATTTTTTGTTTTGCCCAAGATTTTTAAAGATTATTATAAACCTGTTTTGTTTTGAATTTTTGATTTTTGATTCCCATTTGTTCATTGCTAGTTTATATAGGGGCCTTAAGCCTCCCACCCCGACGCCACCTCCGCTACTGCGGATTGGTCCCAGAGTATTCTACTACTGAGATACATCCCCAGCCCGTTTTTAAATTTTGAGACAGGGTCCCCAAGTTTCTGAGGCTGGCCTGGCCTCAAAGTTATGATCCTCCCTGCGTCGCCCTCCCAAATCCCTGGGATTACAGCTATACACTGCTGGGCCAAGCTGTTTTTTTTTTTTTAAATTTCTAACATAGTGTTGGCTATGAATGAAGACAGTTTTATTTCGTTTATATCTATATGCCCCCCCCCATTTTCTAGATTTTTTTCCCTCACTATTATTGGTTATTAGAATCTCCTTGCCTTGTTCTAATTTTAGTGAGAATGTACTCAGTCTTTGTCTATTAAGTATGATTCGCTGTAGGTTGTTTTTTTTTTTTTAGAAGTGCCCTTTCTCTGTTTGAAACTTCCCTTCTAGTCCTAGTTTGCAGAAAGTTTTTACTATGAAAGGATGTTGGATTTTTTTCTAGTGTACCAATTGGTATGATCAAGTGTTTTCCTCTTTGATAGACTATGATGATAGCCTTGAATTGTGGGATAAACCCCACTTGGTCATGGTGTATTACTTCTTTAATATATGGCCAAATTTGATGTTATGGTTGGATGTGAGGTGTCCCTCAGAAGCTCAAGTGTGAAACAGTGCAAAAATGTTCAGAGGAGAAATGATAGGGTTATGAGAGCCTTACCCCAACCAATGAATTAACCCCTCATGGAGTTAACTGAGTGGCAATTGAAGACAAGCAGGGTATGGCTTGGAGAGGTGCTTATTGGGGACATGTCTTTGGGGTATATGCTTTTTTTCTGGCAAGTGGTGTCTCTCTGCTTTCTGATCATCATGTCTTCCACCATCATGTCCTGCTCACCTCCCACCTCAAGGAATGGAATTGGCTGTCTATGGACTAGTTTCTGAAACCCTGATCCCCCATAGAAACTTCCTCCTCTAAAATTTTCTGGTTAGGTCTTTTCAGTCATATAAGTGAAAAGCTGACTAAAATATTTGATTTGCTAATATTTTCTTGAGAATTTTTGCATGTATATTCATGAGGGATGTTGGTCTATGTTTTCTGTGTTTCTTTTACTGTCTTGTATAGTTTGGGTTTCAGAGTAATACTGATTATCATTTATGAGTTTGAAAGAATTCCCTTTACTTCTGGTTTTTTTTAATGTAATAACATTGGTTATATCTCTTCTTCAAATGCATGTTAAAATTTGTTACTGAAAGCAACTGGTTATGGAGATTATTTGCAGGATTTTAAAATTTTGTTTTGTCCCAGGGATAGAACCCACAGGCCCTTAACCACTGAGATATATCCCCAGCTCTTTTTATTTTGAGATAGGGTCTCGATAAGTTACTTAGGGCTTTGCTAAATTGCTGAGGCTGGCTTTGAACTTGTGATCCTCCTGCCTCAGCCTCCAGTGTTGCTAGGATTACAGCTGTGTGCACTYGTAATTTTGCAGGATATTTTTAACTATGAACTCAATTTATTTAAAGTTAAAGGACTATTATAGAATAGCTATAGACTTCAATAATAACATAACTACAATAACTATAATTAATAGTTATAGAATACTAATTTTTATCTTTTTTGTGATTTTATATAGTTTTAGTTAATTCATTTCGTTTAAATTAYCCATTTTAGTTGTGTGGGATTAAATAGTATTCACTTTTGCTTTGAATGAATTAGGGATCCACAGTGATAACCCTTCTTTTGTTCTTGACATTGATAAGTTGTGTCTTTTTTGTTGTTGTTGTTTCTTGGTTATTCTTGCTGGAGATGTACCAACTTTGTTATAAAGAAGTGGATTTTGATTTCACTGATTTTTCTCTGTTGCTTTCCTGTTTTCAATTTTATGGTTTAATCTTGGTGCTCTTTATTATTTCCTTCTACTTTTACTTTGGGTTTATTTTGCTGTTCTTTTCCTATTTTCTGAAGGTTGAGGCATAGATAATTGATTTGAGATCTTTCTGATTTTCTAATATAAGCATTTAATGTTCTAAATTTCCTTCAAAGTACTATTTTACATGTATGCCAAAATTTTTGATATCTTGTAGTTTCAAATTTATTTAGATCAAAATATTTCTGATTTCCAGAAATTTCCTTTTTAGCTCATTATTTAGAAGTGTCTTGTTTAATTTTAGAATGTTTGGAGATTTTTTTAACCTATGTTATTTAATTCCATTATGATCAGAATATAATTTACATGATTGCATTTCTTTTAGATTTTTTCCCCAATATGTATTTTATTATTTTATTTTTATGTGGTGCTGAGGATCAAACCCAGTACCTTAAACATGCTAAGTAAGCACTCTACCTCTGAGCCATAACTCCAACCCTTCTTTTAGATTTTTGAAGGTTTGTTTTGTGATCTATCCTAGTGAATATCCTATGTACACTTCAAAATAACGTGTACAGTAGTTCCCCCTTATATTTAGGTGATATATTCCAAAATCCCGAGTGGACACTTAAAACTGAAAATTATACCAAACCCTCTGAACACTGTCTTTCTTATACATTCCTATGGATAAAGTTTAATGTATAAATTAGACCAGAGTAAGAAATTAACAATAGGCTTCTCACTCTTGAGATAGTTTGCACACTGTCTCTTTTCCTTTAAGTGTATAATTCTTGCTTTCCTAAATAAATCTTTGCTTCTGACTCCAGAAAATAAAAAAGAGATTAACAATACTATTAATAAAATACAACAATTATAAAATATACTGTAATAAAAGTTATATAGATATGGGTCTTAAAATATAGGTTTTGGTTTTGGGTGTGTGTGGGTTCTTCACTCTGTACACAGCTAACTTTATGTTATGCCCAGCAGTGTTGCCACATAGTACTAGAGTAATCTGTCCTATGTCTGATGTCCTCCTTCCATGACTGCAGATTCTACTGGCATCTTTCTGCAGATGAGCTTAGTTTCATTGCAGTTGAAAATTCACATTGGATGGTATCCTTTCTCTTTATTTAGTCTCTTCAACTCTGCTGGAAATTCAGCAGCAGCTTCCTCATCAGCAGACACAGGCTCTGTAGTAATTTCAGTCCAAACCTATTCCTGAGTCTGTGTAACCATCCTTTACTTGCAGTAAATGGCTTGGTGTTATGTTATTTCAGAGGCTCCCTTCTGAAGTCTTCATATAGGCTGAATACTTTCTAACACAAAATATTACCACCAATCCGGATGTGTTTTTCTGTTCATGTCGTCCACCTACAAATTTAATGCCCTGCCCCACCTTCTTTTGTACTCAGATTGAAAAACAGTCTTCAACACTTTTATCTTTTTGGTTCTGGGGACTGGAACCCAGGGCTTTGCAGAGGCAGAGCATGCACTCTTATCACTCATCTACAGCCCCAACTCTCTTTTTCATCTTAACTAATTACTAATCACATAATCACATGCTGTGGCTGCAGCTTTTGTAGCTTGGGTTGTGACAGCAAAACTAGCACAAATTTATTTTTTCTTCACAGTTTCAGATAGATCTTAGGAACCTTGGTATATAGTTTTGTGGGTTTTTTTTTTTTCCTGTCCTTATGAGAATTTTTTACTTAAAGGAAGCACTTATGGTTTCTTTGGCATGTCCAAATTGCCAGCATCACTACTCTTGTACATTGAGGCCATGATTAAGTAAAATAAAGGTTACTTGAACACTGGTACTGCTACTGTGACAGTAAATTTGATAACTTAGATAACTAGTAAGTGACTAACAGGCATGGAATATAGCCAGCATGATTGGACAAAGGGATGATTCATGTATTAAGCAGGAATAAATAAAGATTTCATAACACTATTCAGAATGGCTTACAATTTAAAACTTATGATTGTTTATTTCTGGATTTTTTTCAGTTAGTATTTTTGAACCACAATTGATCATGGGTAACTAAAACCATAGAAAGTAAAACCATGGATAAAGAGAACTATCGTATTCTACCATTGTTGGTAGTAATGTTTCATAAAATCAGTTCAATCCACTTAGATGATGTTCATTTCCTCTATATCCTTCCTGATTTTCTGCATACAAGATCTGTCAATTCCTGAGAAAGGAGCACTGACGTTTTTAGTAGTAAGTGTGAATATGTCTATTTATCCTTTCAATACTTTCAGGTTTTGCTTTACATATTCTTGCGTGCATGTTACATTAGGATTCTTGTCTTCTTGGTGAACTGCCCTTTTATCATTATGTAATGCTTCTCTGTCCCTGATCATTTTCTTTTCCCTAAAGTGTCTTTACTCCAGCTCTTAAAAAAAAAAAAAAAAGAACGCCTTTATCAAGACATATAATATACTATTTACCTATTTAAAGTGTACGATTGAATGGGTTTTAGTATATTCACAGTCATATAACTGTCAACAAAATCAATTTTAGAACATTTTATCACTCTAAAAAGAAACCATATGCCATTAACAATTATTTCCTATTCCCCTTTACTTTTCCCAACCATACCCTACCCCCTGCTATACTCCAGCACTAGGCATTCACTAAATTAATTTCAGTTTCTATGGATTTTCCTCTACTGGACATCTAAGTCATAATATGTGGTCACTTGTGACTGGTTCCTATCACAAGCATAATAATTATCATTCATGTTCCTTGTTTCAGGACATCTTTTTATTTATTCATTGATCAGTTGACGGACTGGGTTAATTCTAATTTTGGGCCATTATGAATAATGTTGCTATGCATAATATTTTGCTTGAATTTTTTTTTCATTTTCTAAGTGTATATCTAGAATGGAATTGTTGGATCATGTGTTTGACATTTTGAAGAACTACCAGAATATTTTTCATAGTGGCTATACCATTTTTACATTCCCATGGGTCCTTTATGCAAATTGCAAATTCTCCATATCCTAGCCAACGCTTACTTTTTTAATGTCTTTTTTGTGATAGCCACCCTTAATAGATGTATCTCATTATAGACTTTTTAGTTTTGTTTTTTGTGGTTTTGGTACTGGGGATTGAACTCAGGGGCAGTTGGCCAGTGAGCTACATCCCTAGCCCTTTTATTGTGAGGCAAGTTTTTGCTACATTGGTTGGGATCTTGTTTACTTGCTGAGGCTAGCCTCAAACTTGTGATCCTTCTGCTTCAGCTTCCCTAGTCACTGGCATTACAAGCGTGCACCACTATGCCCTGCTTGTTGTAGTTTCGTTTCGTTTCTTTTTTTTTTTTTAATTCTTTTGTAGTTGTAGATGGACAGAATGCCTTAATTTTTTTATTTTTATGTGGGGCTAAGGATCGAACCCAATGCCTCATACAGGCTGAGCAAGTGCTCTGCCACTGAGCTACAGCCCCAGCCCTTGTTGTAGTTTTTTAATTGCATTATGTTGAGCATGTTTTCATGTACTTTTTGGTATCTGGCTTTCTTTTGATTAGTATTTGTATAGTGCATCCTTTTTTTATCCTTTTACTTTTAATGTATCTGTATTATATTTTAAGTGAGTTTTATATAGATAGCATATAGGTCTTCTTCCTCAAGTAAAATATTAGAAACTTTATCACAATATGGGCCTCTTTGTTGCCCCTCTCTCCTTATGTTGTAGTTATAGTTGTATTCTATATTACCTCTGTATATGCTAAAAATTTCATCAGACAAGAGTTGAAATTCTTATTTCTAAACACCAAACATTTTAGAACTAAAGAGACTATTTACTGTTATGTATAATTTCTATTCCTTTTTCTTCATTCCTGATGCTTTTTCTTTCTGATATCATATTGCTTTTATCTGAAGAATTCCTTTAGAATGAGTCTATGGCCACTATCAGGTGTTGGGCTTCCTCAGTACTATTGATGCTGGCTCTGTTATTTGTAAGGGTCTCTAGCACTAGCTGTACCAGTAATGGTGAGGGACCCAGGTGCTTCACAAGGAGAGGCCAGGGCAAGAATCAGAGCACCTCTTCTGTGGCACTCACATGCAGTCTATTAAGCAATGCATGACAGGCAAGGTGTAGGGGTAGGCAGCCAGCGGTAGAACTGCATAGTTGTGGTGTTCCTTTCTGCTACTGTAGGCATGTCCACCCAAGTGTGGGACCTCAGACCAACTGCTAACTGCAGGCACTTGGTGACAGGATAGTAGTAGCAAGACCCTCCACCCTCACTTCTGTCCTGTCTGGGATAGAGCAGAACAAAGTCAAGGCAAAATTCCTCCTGAGGCCTGTCTTGGCTGTGCACACTCAGGGTCAAGGCAATGGGGTTGGGGGGCTTTTATTCTAGGATTGCTTTAGATGTAATGCCCTCCATAGAACCAGCAAGAGTGAATCACATCTGCAACCAAGCAAAATTCCTTTCAGTGGAAGTGCATGAGCAAGAGAAGAATGCTCCAGGCATCAGGCAAGCCACCCCGTCCCCTTAGACTGCAGGTCCCTCAGCAATTAGAGCTCCAGCATTGCTCAAAGCTATCCAGCAGGCCTCCATAGGCAAAGCAGCAGTGGGACCCATGGAGTTTTTTCCTTGCCCTGTTAGTGACAGGAGCCTGTTTGGGTGAAGGGGTGAGGGGTCCCTTCATTTCAAGCACTAGAGTGAACCCCCATGCTACTTAATGATCATGCCCTTGGTTTCTAAGGGCATCATCCGCAGTCTCCCAGTTCTTGAGGGTATTGCCTTCTGTTCTCATGTCACAAACCCTGTTTATGACAGTGTAGGACACACAGCAGGTTTGAATCATTCATCTGCTGAGCCATGTTTGGTTCCTGAGGCAGCTACCTGCTAAGCCAGTGCAGTTGAATGTCGAAGTTCCAGAAATGTGAATACATTGGGGTTTCTAATCCTTAAAGCAGTCCAAATTAAGACAGTAGGTCTCTTCACAACATGGCTCCTGAACTGCACCCTATATATTCTCTGGAAGGTGATATTAAATCCTTTTCAAAGCAAGTCTGTTATGTAGATTTCAGGTAACTTACCTAGGTTAGGCAGCAAGCCAGTGGGCATAGTGAAACTTTGCAAAAGCTAGGGTTACCAGTATCCACACTGATTATATTTTTGTGAGACTGTTTTTTACCCTTACCCTGCAAATGGAACTTTTTTTACCCTTGCGGTATCCCAGTTGTGGGGTCCAGTGGCAAGTGCTAGGCTATTTTGTTTCTCTTACTGTATTCTTCTCCCAGGTTTATAAGAATTTACAAGGTTACAGTATCTTGCTCCCTGTTTTCCAGTGTTCTCCCATGGTCACTCACCTGTGAATTCAACTATATACCTATTACTTTGTTTCATTGTTGAGGGGGAGGTGAGTGCTGGGTACCTCTAATAGCCATCTTGAAATTCCCATTAAATTTCCCTTATATATACCAAAAGTTTCCCATAAGAGCCAGTGTTATTCACACCAAAACTTTTTTTTCTTTTCACGATATACTAAGGAAAATACAAGAGTTAGGATTATAATGTGATTTTATATAAGAAGTATACCCAAGAGAAGATTGAGACTTTGAATAGCATGACACATAGAAGCAATTTTGTCTAGTTAGTAATATGTGTTTTTGAGGAGTGTCTCAGATCACCTGACTAAGTAGAGGCTAAGCAGAGTTCTTTATACTCTATTTAAACTTCAAGCTTATATCATTTCTAACAAGCGAAATCACAAGGTGTTCTTAGATACTTTTTTCTCCCAATGAACAAACTTAAATGAAGCTTTAGAAGTGTAATTTTGTATATGTGAAACTAAAACAAGGTGATATGCAGACTTTGTTTTGAGTCTCAATTTTAATTTTAATTATAGATATTTTTTTAGAAATGAGTTGCACAATTGAGAAGGCACTTGCTGATGCTAAAGCCCTTGTTGAAAGATTGAGAGATCATGACGATGCAGCAGAATCTCTGATTGAGCAAACCACAGCTCTCAACAAGCGAGTAGAAGCAATGAAGCAGGTTTGATTTTTTTCTTTGATTCCATTTAACAGAAGCAGTCATTGACATTTATGTATTGCTTGAATTATAGCTACTGCTTTTAATCTGTTCCCTAAATTTTGAAGTAGCTTCACTTGTATGTTTAGTCTGCTTTAAAGGAGGATATGTTTGTCGTGTTTAGATGGCATACATGTATGGATGTATGTGTGTTCTAAAACCTATAGATTTGCTGAGCACTGTAATCCCAGGAACTTGGGAGGCTGAAGCAGGAGTATCACAAGTTCAAAGCCAGCCTCAGCAACTTGGCAAGGCCCCAAGCAACTTAGTGAAACCCTGTCCCAAAACAGAAAATTAAAAGGACTGGGCATGTGACTCATTTGTAAAGTGCCCTTGGTTCAATTCCTACTGCCAAAAATTAAAAAAAAAAAAAAAAAAAAAAAAAACTGTAGATTTGATTACTTTTCTGATAGAGATGCACATTTGAGTTTAGACCTCAAATTAATTTATTAGGTCTAGATAAATTTGACAAAGACCAGATAATACCTTTTACTAATGTTAACATACATTTTGCTTTGTCTTGGGTAAGACAGATGTGTTTATGTAGTTTTCTTATAAAAGTACTTAGATGATGCTATTTAACAACCAAATGTTTTCTAAAGTGATGCAAAGAAATACCTGGTTTACAGCCTATGCAGTAACACATTAGTACTTTCTATCTTGTTTTTCATTTAATGCTCTCAACTAAAAAGAAATTAAAAGGTTTTCATAACTTGATTTTTTAACATGTATAACAGTATCTTTCAGTGAACTATAGAGTCTAGCTACCATTTTAAACCCTCCTCTGATAAAAATTTTTAACTATTAAGAAGACTATACAATCTCATGTATTGTGATAGAAATTAGAGGGGAAAATGTATGTTCACAGCCAACTTTTATGAAACTCACCCATTCTGTAAAAGGAAACAACCTGAGGTAATGCTCTTAACAAAGCTATGAAAAATAGTAAAGCAAGTTTACTTATTCTGTTTTGCAGTCATGTTGCCCTAAACAGATTACCTGCCTCCATAATGTCCGGTTTAACTCTGGCACTCCAGTGAACATATGCCTGGTATTAACTTGTTTTTAAAAAAGGAATTTGACACCTGAAGTTAAGAATCAGGAATGTTGTTATGAATCCATTACTAGGTGTCTCATAATGTCTTGAAAGTAAATGATTGCAATTTTGAAGTTACATTCTTTCTTTTGGGGGGTGGGATACTGAAGATTGAACTCAGGGGCACTGGACCACTGAGCCACATCCCAGTCCTATTTTTTGTATTTTATTTATAGACAGGGTCTCACTGAATTGCTTAGTTCCTCACCATTGCTGAGGCTGGCTTTGAACTTAACATCCTCCTGTCTCAGCCTCCTGAGCTGCTAGGAGTATAGGTGTGCGCCACTGCACCTGGCTCACTTATTTTTTTAATGCAAATTATTTTGCATTTCTTCCGCACATGTTCTTTTAAGATAATTTATATACCATAAAATTCCACCCTTTTAAATAATACAGTTCATTGGATTTCAGTATATTCACAGGTTGTGCAACCATAACCACTAATTACAGATCATTTTCATCACCCTAAAGCTGTAGACCCATTAGCAGTATTTCCCTAGCTTCCCCTTCCCTTCCCCACTAGTAAGCACAAATTTTTTCATCTGTGATTTGCCTATTCTAGATAAAATGATATAATATGTGGCTTTTTGTGATTGGCTGCTTCTTTTTTTCCCCCTGGTACCAGAGATTGAACCCAGGGGCACTTAACCACTGAGCCTACATCCCCAGCCCTTTTTAATTATTTTGTTTAGAGACAGGGTCTCGATAAGTTGCTTAGAGCCTCCCTAAGTTGCTGAGGCTGGCTTTGAACTCAAGATCCGCCTGCCTCAGCCTCCTGAGCCACTGGGATTACAGACACTTGCCACCACACCTAACTGTGATTGGCTCTTAACAGAGTTTTTACAATTCCTGTCACAGCATGGAATCAGTACTTCATTCCTGTTTATTGCCCAATAATATTGCATTGTGAGGATGCAACACATTGTGGTTTATCCATTCATCAGTTGATAGACATTTGAATTTTGGGGCTCTTACACAAAATGGTGCTATGAGTATTTGTATACAAAGTTTGGCATGGATGTAGGGTTTCAGTGCCCTGGGGTATATACCTAGGAGTGGGATGAATGAATTATATAATATCTTGTATGTTTAACTTTTAAAGGATCTGTTTATTTATTTATACTTATTCACACATCAGATATGTTTCCAAATACTTTCTCCAGACATATTCTTTTTTAATCATTTCATTAGTATCAGGAAGAAATTCAAGAACTTAATGAAGTCGCAAGACATCGGCCACGGTCCACATTAGTTATGGGAATCCAGCAAGAAAACAGACAAATCAGAGAATTGCAACAAGAGAACAAAGGTAAGACATATTATCACTGTAGATGAATGGTTTCTTTTCTTCTTTTTTTTTTTTTTTTTTTTTTTTGGTACTGGGGTTTGGACTGGGGCATTTTATACTGAGCCACATCCTCAGTTCTTTTTATTTTTTGAGACAGGGTCTTGTTAAATTGCTGAGGCTGGCCTCAAACTTGGGATCCTCCTGCCTCAGCCTCCTGAGTCACTTGTTATGACAGGTGTACACCCCCACACCCAGAGAACTTCTTTTCTTGGTCTTAGAACCTCATCCTCAATCTTAGTTTGCACCTTTTTTTTTTTTTTTGTTACCTGTGAAATGACTCAGTTTCATTCTCTGCAGTTTCACTGCTTTAACCCCCGTTAAGGTGCGACTGTCCTCTTAATCTTTTGTCTGTTCTGTCCTAACTAGTCTCCTTGATTCTAGTCTTTCCACTTCCATCAGTCTTTAACACAAGCATCAGATTGATTTCTCAAAAATAAATCTAATCATGCTACTTTTTGCTTGAGAACTTTCATTGTATCCTTATTTCCTTACATAAGGAACTTCAAAGTCAATTCCAGGCCTTTTCTGTCTTCTTCCCACAGCTCTTCTCTGTGAATATTTTGCTCTTGCCATTTCAGACCAGTTTCTCAACACATCATCCATTTCAAAGCCTCCTTACTTGAATCTCCAATCTTTAATTTTTCAACCCAAGAAAATCAAAGTCATCCCCATGTCACGCTTCTGGGAAACTTTCACAAATTTCTCCCCAGAGATTTCTCTTAAATGTGTTTGAGTAGCTCTGCACTTACCACATATTTGTTTTCTCTACTATACCCTAAACTGTATGGTTTTGGGGTATTCTTAATATAGCAAGAACATTGTCTGATGTTTATTTGCTATTTAGTAAATGTTTTCTGATACTTAAAAACTGAGTTTTAAAGCTGGGTACAGTTGTGCATGCCTGTAATGCCAGTGACTTGGGAGGCTGAGGAAGGAGAATTGCAAGTTTGAGGCCAGTGTTGGCAACTTAGCAAGACCCTGTCTCAAAATTAGAAATAAAAAGAGTTATGGATATACCTCAATAATAAAGTGCACCTGGTTTCAGCCTCCACCACTAAATAAATTATTTGTCCACCACTAAATAAATTATTTGTCTTTTATTGTTACATGGGTAGAATTTTATATATCATGTTTTCTTTTTAAAATACCCTATTTATTTTGGTATTTTGGTAAATATTGAAGAGAATATTTTGTTTACCCTAAATTTGAATAAAATATACTGTTATTCTTGATAGAATTACGTACATCCCTGGAAGAACATCAGTCTGCATTGGAACTTATAATGAGCAAGTATCGAGAACAAATGTTTAGATTGCTCATGGCTAGCAAAAAAGATGATCCAGGTATAATAATGAAGTTAAAGGAGCAGCATTCCAAGGTAATCCATTCCATAAAGGTAACTTGAACGGGAAAAGAGGGACAGTTGGTTGTGTTCAGATTAAAAAAGGGATATCTAGTAATGCCGTGTTAACATGACATTGACTACTTCATGTTTTTAACTGACATTTTCTGCCGTCTCTTTTCTCACTTCTTCTTTGTTATGTGCCATATTCTGTTTGATTTTTTTTTCTAACTCATACTGTTTGCTAGTAACTTTTAAACAAGTATGTATGTATATTACACACACTGTTTTGGAAATAAAGGTAAGTTTGTTCAATTCAAAATTAGTTTTGTAAGTTATCTACTTTTAAGAAATATTTCTCCCAGTAAATTTATATAGTGACATATTTTGTGAGAACAAAAATTGAAATTGCTTTGAAATTTTAAAAAATGTTTGAAAGCAACTAAATGTAAATTTGTTTTTCTGAAGACCATTTTCTGAGTGAGGCTAATTTATCTACTCTATGAATGATCCTGATTATAATGAAAAACTATGGGGCTGGGGAGAAGAAAAGATTKTACCAGTCTATTTAAATTTTGCTCTCGGGATTGCATACCAGTTGACATCATTTTTAGAGGCAAAACTGAAGTGGTTAGAAACTAGTGTTTTTTTCCTATTTTTCTTGTGGGATTCCTGTGTCTATTTCCTTTCATATGTTCCTGTGTTTACTGGCAACTGTTATGAAGATAAGTAGACTAATCTCTTCACCATTTACGTTGTATTTTAAACTTAATTTTAGCTGCTGGTGTAAAATAGAAATATTAAAGGTTGTGATAACCTGGCCATTATCTGTAGTGCATAATGGTGAGATACTTGTTATTAGTTATTAAGAAATAGTGGTTGTTATAAGACATTTTTTATCTTTCTCAATTAGGAAAACACACTTTAGATTCTTTTAATATTCATTTAAAATATTTCTTCCATCTGGTGCTTATGTTTTTAAATTACTATTAATTCTTCTGGAATTAAATGCCTAGTAAATAACTCTTTGAGAAAACTTAATAGGTTCTTCTTGTGTCAACTAGTAAATTAATAAATTAACAACTTTGGGCTTGATATTATCTAATATTCATCTCCTAGCCAAATGAAAATCCTTGGCTATTTAGGGAAAATCTTTTGAATATGAAATCTATAGTTGGGCTGGGGATGTAGCTTAATTGAGCACTAGCCCAGCTGTGCAAGGCCTTGAGTTAGATCCCTAGCATTAGAAAAAAAAAAAAAATCCATTGTTAATGAGACCATTACAAATCATTTAAATTTAACAGTATAACTAAGAGTCTTTTTTTTTAAGTTATGAAGAGAAATTGAGTTAAAATTATTGATAAGATGAATGTAATCTTGGCATATTCTAAAAGGACCTTCTCTTTTATAACTTGAAAGATAAATTTTAAAGATCTAAAGGGAAGAGAATACCATGTCAAAAAAATGCTTAGGATCCGATATTGCAGCTTGTTAGTCCCATCTGGTAGCAATTATGACAGAGCAAATGTTTTCTAAAACACATTAGGGGATAGAGATGTAGCTCAGTGGTATTGTGTGTGCTTAGCAAGCATGAAACCCTGGGTTTAATCCCCAGCACAAAATATAAATAAAACACATTAGATTTAATCATTCATTGAAGTTGTTTTACTAATTAGTAAAGTTAAACATTTTCTAGATTGCTCTAAACCATCCATTTTCATTATGTGGATTGAATTTAAGTGCTGATCCTTGCCTTCCATAAAATGATTATAAAGTTACTCGTTATTAATTCTAACTAATACATATTAATGTTTGTGATTTTGATTTTTCCCAAAAAGGAGACACCTTGACTCAGTTAAACAAACATTTATTAACACTTGCACGGGGTTAGTTGTTAAGCGTAATAACAATGTGAATGAACGAATAAGTTAAATTACTATTTGAGCTTGTAATGGGAGATACAGACACAAACCTAATTAATATAGGGCAGGGTCTGATAGAAATAGGAATTGTTACCAGAATACTAAAAATCAACATTAGTTCTTGTGAGGAAAATCTGGAAAGATGTTCAGTAAAGAGAAAATGTATCCAAATTCAACCTTGAATTAATTATGAAGGTGGGGAGGGTTTCCATAAGCAGAAGTGGGTAAACAGAAATACCATAAAGGCACAAAACAAGGGGATTCGAGGACATGTTTGAGTATTAGTGCCCTGATAACACCTAAACACAAAAATAATTTTATGACAGGGGTAACATAAAGTTACACATAGCAACATTTTGGAGTAGAAGACCCTTTGAAATACTACAGAAGTTTGTGAGTGCACACTTAAAAATCTGTAAAAAGTTTAAGAATTTATTTTCATCCAAATAATTATTTTTATATTATTTTTAACATACCTTTTTGGAAATCTTAAAAAAACAAACATTTTGAACAGTTGGCTAACACGCATGAACTAACACTCATTCAGTTTTTAAAGTACGGATAATGTCCGTATTAACATTATAATGACTCTGTACTACAGATTGACATGGTACATCGTAACAACTCCGAAGGATTCTTCCTTGATGCATCTCGACACGTCCTTGAAGCACCTCAACATGGACTGGAGAGGAGGCACTTGGAAGCAAATCAGAATGTACACTAAATAAAACAGTCAATTTTGGGGTGTGGATGGAAAGGGGGTCCATTTAAAAAGTTCTTTTACTTTGAATTTCCCTCCCAGAATAGATCAGCAAATAAATGAAATCAACTAAAAATAAAATGCTGTGCTTTTGGTAGTTATACTGTTTAGTGTAGAATCTTTAAAAATTTGTCATTAATTCTCTATATATTGTATCATACACAGTCACTAATTCTCTTGTGTATTGTATCATACACAGACTAGAGGTTTTAAATGATATTTAGCCCAGTTTTGCATTTATTTTCTCTTATTAGCTTTGTTGCTGCAGTTTTTGTTTCAACAAAACAGTTACATCAAGGACATTTTCTTGTCCTGGATATTAAGGATATTTTCTTGACATTAATTTTAACCTGATTTCTTAAAGTCTTGGTCCATCAAAAAGGAAATGTTTTAAATTAAATTTTTTATAGTTTGTAGTCCTTTACAGTTCACAAATAAGACAAAAATGTCTTTTGTTTATATAATTTAGTAGTGCTCTTTCTATGTGTCTTCTCTTTTTTAAAAAACTTGTAGCCATTCTTTTATCTTCTTAGTAAAGTAAAAATAAGCCTAGACAAAGTTAAAAATGAAAAGCATTAGGTACACTCCTATAATCCCAGCAACTCTAGAGGTTGAAGCAGAAGGATCACAAGTTCAAGATCAGCTTCAGCAACTTAGCAGGATCCTCAGTAACTTAGGGAGACCCTGTCTCAAAAAATATAAAGGACTGGGGATATAGCTCAGTGGTAAGGCACCCCTGGTTTCAACCCTCGGTGCCTCCCCCCCCACCCTCGCAAAAAAAGTCATTTCAAAACAGTTTAATAATTATGTTGCTAACACTTTTGCCTTCAAGGCAGTTTTGAACCAGTCTTGTCTTTTACACCTATTGAAAACTGATTCCTCACAAAAGATTTTATAGTTAACAAGTGAACCATTGATTGGGCCTGTAAAAATACTATCATTTAAAGTTTGGGGTTTGTGTGTGTGTGTGTGTGTGTGTGTGTGTGTGTGTGTGGTGATCTTGTTAGAACAGACTTTTTCCTGAAAAAGAAAGTAAATATTTATTTTCTTCCAGTTTAAAAAGACTTAATTGAGAGTGCTATTGTTATTCAAAACTTATGTTCATTACTCATTTTGCTGCTGCAGTTATCTGTATTTACTTGCTTTTAAACATTATGTTCCCTTTACAAGTGGAAGGAAAGTTATTTTTTAGTTTTTGGTACCAGGGATTAAACTGAGGGGTACTGAACCACTGAGCCACATCCCAGCCCTATTTTTTGTATTTTATTTGGAGACAAGGTCTCACTGAGTTGCTTGTTAGCACCTTGTTTTTGCTGAGGCTGATTTTGAACTCAAGATCCTCCTGCCTCAGCCTCCTGAGCTGCTGGGATTATAGGCATGTGCCAACCATGCCCAGCTTTTAATGATTTCTTTTAACTGTTGCAGAGTATGGCAAGTATGTGTCTTGATCCTTTTTGTTACTATAATCTAATCCAAAATTGCCCAGTAGAACTTTCTGAAATGATGGAAATGTTCTTTATACTAATGTGGAAGCAAATCAGAAATGTATGCTAAATACATGTGTGGCTGTTGAGCACTTGGAAATGTCAGTGCAAGAATTAATAATAATAATATGTATTTAATTTTAATAGCACTGTGCTGGACAGTGCAGATTAGTCTTTTATTGTGCCTTCTTCTTAAGTACTCAACATTATAAAGATGTCATCATTGGAATAATACAAGGAGAGGTAGGAGGGGGTATATATAGATCAGTGGTAGAACATTTCTTAGCATGTGCAAGGCCCCACCACCAAAAAAAAAATGCATTTTTATTAGATAAGATTATTAAATGAGGTGGGGAATGTAGCTAAATGGTAGAGCACTTGCCTACCATGGAGTAAGGCCGTGGGTTCAATCAGCCCTGCAGAATATATATGTATATTTTATACACACAAATATGTATACATATATAAACTGTATATTTTTTAATGTGGTTTACTAAAGATAGTCCATTCTTTTTTTCCCTATCATTTCATCCAGTTTGTTTTGTGGGGTTTTTTTGAGGTCTTGTTCAAATCCTGTTTACAATCAAAATATATACAACTATTTGAGACTTGGTGTTTATTTGGAATGTTATTCATTTTATATTTAAGCTTGGCCTTGATATATAATAACCTCTTGCCAATGAATAATGGTCGAAAGAAACTGATTATGATAGTGATTTTTCTCACATTTCTATTGATTTTGAATGGTATTTGTTTCACTCGACTCTGAGCTCCTGCAGGTCAGGGAATAGTCTTAGCAGGCTTGATATTCCTGGTGCCTGGTACAGTACCTGGCACATCAGAGATTTGCAAAAAAAAAAAAAGGAATTCTCGAGTGGGACCTCATTTATGCACCTAACAAATGCAGATGTCTGTATTATGCTGAAATTATATTTTCAATGGTTGGCAAAGGCCATTTAATATTTTAATACTTAGAAGCAGAAGTCTATTAAGTTCTCAATATTATAAAGAAAAGACTAAATAGGCAAATATAAACAGGATGCAGTTCTTGCTTTCAAAGAGGATCAATTTATAGGCATGGATAATATTGAAAAGATTTGTGAATCATGAAAACTTGAAGATCAGTGTGTCAACAATTTTTTCTTCACAATTACTTTGACCCGTTGTATATATAGGTGTGAAAAAGAAAAAGTTGCTGATTCCTGTGGTTAGAGGAATATGAAAGGAGTAAATTTCTTGGTACTGGGTTTAATTATATCTTTCTGCTTATCCTTAATTCTAGTCCTAATAGAAATCTGATTTCAAAAACACATTCATTGTTAATCATCTTTGTTGTGATCTAAGTACTACATTTATATTAAATGGCAATACAAGAATATTACATTCATATTAAGTGACAGTGCAGATTTTATTAAAAGGATGCAAAACTAAAAATAATTTGAAAAATAAAGTATTTCACTGATTACCAACTCATATGCTTTTTTTTCAGGAGTTACAAGCACATGTTGACCAGATAACTGAAATGGCAGCAGTGATGAGGAAAGCCATTGAAATCGACGAGCAACAGGGTTGCAAGGAGCAGGAACGAATATTTCAACTTGAAGTAAGTTTTAAATTGCAAGTGTAGGTGAAAACTGTCCATAAAAAGACATGCCAGAGGGGCTGGGGTTGTGGCTCAGTGGTAGAGTGCTTGCCTAGCACATGTAAGGCACTGGGTTTGATTCTCCACACCACATAAAAAAGAAAAAAAGAAAAGGCATTGTGTTCATCTATAACTAAAAACATTTTTTAAAAAAAGACATTCCAGAAAACATATCCCATTTAAAAATATACATATACTTTTCTGGAATACTTGGTAATATTCTTAATCTGGATGCTGGTTATATGAATATATGATGCAAGGCTATATAGTAATGCAAGAATCTAGGATCATTAGGAACTTATACCAGTAGTGGAGAGAGAGATATTCCTTTTCTTACTAAATGAAGGTACTTATTTAACTTAGTAATTTTTATAACTTTGTTCATTCTATCAAGATAGTACAGGGAAAGGATTCATTAATCCACATATATTTTTTGTGTACTCTTATTTTCCAAGGACTCTAAAAGTCTTTGTCTCAATCCATCTTTTATTTTGTATACAATTAAAATAATTGGAATAGACTTTGAAATCATTATCAGGAAAAAATTGACTTCTTACTCTTAAACATGTATTCTCCCGTTTGTGTAACAGGAATGGGCAGACTTTTCCAATAGTGAACCAGCAAATAAATTTTCTATACTTCTCAAACTAAACAGTTCGCACCTGCTCAACTTTGCCATGTAATGCAAAAGTAGCCACAATAATATATGATAAATTATAAAAGATTATTTTTAACTATCTGAAAATTTCTTAACAGTAATTCTAGAGTTGGGGGAGGCAAAATTTTTTTGTGTTTTGGTATTTGCACACAACACTTTTATTTTATTTACCTATTTTTATGTGGTGCTAAGGATCGAACCCAGGGCCTCAAATATGCTAGGGGAGTGATCTACCGCTGAGCCACAACCCCAACCTCCACCCCAAGGCAAAGTTTTTTACAATGTCAAATATGGTTACTTAATTTCCTTTTGAGAAATATCATCTACTCAACCCGGCTGCTCTCAAATTTCTGTGTAAGGGAAACAAACCAGATGGCTTGTCCTACATTCCATACTATCATGGAAAGTAATAAAAGTACTAATGTACTGTGAGGGTATAGTCAGAGGGTATTATTCTCTACCTTTATGAGTTTATATGTAGATCCAGATGCTATTTTGTTCATCTTTAGTATGACTATAAGGCAGTTTGAGTTTTTAATCTTAGTTACATCTGTATATATAAGGCTTTGCAGTGGTGGGAGAGGGTGAACATAGTTCACTTTTTAAAGAAAAATTGTTTGGGTTCAGCTTGTCAACTATATGTAACTACATTTATGCCAGTTACAGAACTTGCTTTTTGTTATACCTTCACATGTTTGGCTTTTCTTAATACATGTTCACGAACCTCTTTAAATGGTAATTATATCTTTTTTTTTTTTTTTTTTTTTTTTTTTTGGCTTGCCTCCTTCTAGCAAGAAAACAAGGGCCTGAGAGAGATCCTTCAAATAACTCGAGAATCATTTTTGAACCTTAGGAAGGATGATGCATCAGAAAGCACATCTTTGTCAGCATTAGTAACCAACAGTGACCTAAGTCTGAGGAAGAGCTGAAAGGGTTCCAAGTCTGGGAACTTTGTATATGACTCTAAACTATCACAAAGACTGGCCTATAAATGAATGAATGAAGAGAAAACTCAAATTCAATCAACCCTTTTTTTTTCCTCTATAGTTTGTACAGTGCACTGGCTAAGTGTTAGCMAAAAAAAAAAAAAAAAAATGTATAGTTAGTTCGTCATAAACTTTATTCCAAAACATAATTGAAATAGAAACTGAGCCATTGTTAATTGGTGAACAAAGGAAGGATTTTCACAGTGATGGCTGAAAATATCAAGAGCTTTCAGCAGTGCTATTGGCTTTCTAAATGATATACTTAGATACACTTGACTTTTCCCAGTAATTGTTTGGGAATTCATAGAATTATCCTAATTTACGATATTTTGCCATGGTTTTGTGAATGGAAGATCCTTATACTCAATTTAATCCTTCCTGTTTGGTGTCAGAGTTAACAAATAGGTTATGTACCATAAGACTTCAGCTTTAGTGATTGCCTGTCTCCTTTCCCATTAATTTAAAATTTTTTTGTCAAAGAAAATTCAGGTTTAAAGGTTGCAGTAATGTTTTACATGTACCACAAATAAAAGAGGAAATTTAATTATAGCTAATTTACCACATAAATGATATTTAGCTAACAAGTGTCCATAACTTGCTAAAGAATATGAAATATTTCAGGAATGAAAGAGAAGGAACATTACTTTCTAAGAAAGAAGATCTTATAAATAAACATATTTAGTAGGTTAAACTACTCCTCTGAAAGAATAAGTTTTGGTTTTTAGTCAATAAAAACAATTTTTCTCTTTTCTGTTTGGTACTTAAGGACCTCATATATTTCATTTACTTAACAAAGTTTAAATGTTTCATGTAGTAAAATAGGTATGGTAATTTCAAAGTAAATTCAAAATTATGGTTTACACAACCCTTTTTTAAGTAATTAAGATACAGAAAAAGTAGACTCAAATATTTAAAAAAAAATTATTTTGAACTCCATCTGCCTCATTCCCTTAAGGTTTTTTTAGTTTGGTTTGGTTTGGTTTTAATAACTTTTCATTACTAAAGGGGGTTGGAAATCTATGGATTTACAAGTATTAGTTTTATTAAAACATGTCAAACAGTAAGTAGATTTCTTTTTTAAAGCAAAAAGATACAGAAACTGTGACACCAATTGAAACCTAAATTTTTCTTTATTTTGTAGTGATCATATAGAATAAAAGGATGAGTATCAAATATTATTAAATATACTCATTTGTATCACACATTAAAATTAACACAAATAGAAAATTCTGCTTTTGAGTATATAATTTGTTAAATATCATGTCATGACAATTTTTAAGTATAATTTCATATATTGGTAAAACTCAAAACTACTTTTCACTTTAGAAATTTTCTACATTAAATTTGGGGAGAGAAGGGTAGATGGGGCTTACTGATTAGAAAAGGGTTAATAATGGCCCAAAACATTAAATTTCTTTTTTCATTCAGAAGCCTTAACTGATACTTTATAAATGACAGTCTTTTATTTTTAAACTTTTCTATTTTTTTTTCAGAAAGTAGACCTTAATTCAGTGGCACATTCAAATAGTTTTTATCCCAAGTAAAAATTAAATAAGCTACACAGTTGAGATTCTAAGGCAATTCATTAGGCAGCTGTAATTATAAACATTACTTGATAAATATTTTTGTAAACAGATGAGTTAATTTATTCTTGGTGTTCTTGCTTGAATATGATTTTAAGGTCTTGGGTGTTTGAAAGACTTTGTTTTTAATGACAGTTTTCCATCCCCTACACTCCCCCTTTTTTTTTTTTTTTTTAAAGAACCTCAAATTTGTGTCTGAGAGTATATACTGCATAGGAGACTATTTTATCAATAAAGATGAGTGATTAAATATTGGTATGGTCTCCAATTTAATTTTAAAACAATGCTTACATTTCTTACGTAGTTCATTTTTAAGGCCTTTTGTCTTTTTTATCACATGACGATACTTAGCAACAGTCTCTATTTATATTTCCTAGGGATTGGCCAGTGGCTTATTGCTGATCCTGCAAACCTTTTTATCCTCAGTAGTGGGTTGAATAGTATTCCCCCAAAGGGTAGACCCAAATCCTAACCCACTATACGTAGCAATGTGACCATATTTGGAAATAGGGTCTTTGCAGATATAAAGGATCTCAGGATAATATCACTCCGCATTAGACATGGCCCTAAATCAATGATTGGTGTTCTTATAATGAAGATTTGCAACACAGAGAGAAAGCCATATGAAGATGGAGGCAGAGATTTATGCAAGTCAAGAAACACCAAGGATCATGAGTCACTGCCAGAACCGAGTGTGGGGCATAGAATGGATTCTCAGCTCCAAGAAGGGAACAACTCCTGCTTGATTTCATACTCTGGCCTCCAGAATTGTGAGAAAACAAATTTCCATTGTTTTCAGCCTGTGGGTAATTTATTAATGCATCATTTGTTTATCAAGTATAAGCTATATTTTTAAATTTTTGTATAGGAAATACAGTTCTAAAAAACCAATTATACAAACTCAGATAAAATGCTTTCTGTTCAAATTTATAATTGCTGGTAACTCCCACAATTTTAGATTAGTTCTAAACTGCTTCAGTGAAAATCATAGAAGATCATAGATCCATAACTTAATTTGGGGTGATTGCTACTACCTTTTCTAATTGACAGAAACAGGAAATGTGTTKTTTTAATAAAATATTGATGGAGATAATTTCTAACTGGCATTTTAGGAGACATTTTCCTTTAACTTCGATCCCCTTTATTCCTTTCTTTTCTCTGACCTCAACATTAGCCACCATCAGTCCTTATTCCTATTCAGTGTTAATATCTCTACTCACCTCCTTGGTGATGTCATTTGTATGCTGGATGATACACTACAGCTTAGACYGCTCAGTAACTCTAAACTCATCCACCTGTGGCTGCCAAAGAGACATTTCAAATTTAAGATGTCCAAAATGAACTCCCAGAACCTCTCCATACCATTCCCCATCCCAGTTAATCCCATTGCCAGCTACCAAGTTCAAAAACTCCAGTGGCATCTTTGACTCTACTTTCTAGCTTGCATCTAACTCAGCAAATCCTGCTGGTTCTTTCTTCAAAATATATCAGAAACCTACCATTCCTCACCGTCTGCATGTATTGTTATCCCTGGTCCAAGCCATATGGGAGTGAACAAATTGGATTCAACCTAAATAACCTCCAACAGGAAAAAGAGTTGTCAGTTTTCACAGTACTTAGTGTGGCTTATTATGTACTGAATTAGTCCATTGTGGTTGCATAAAACCTCAGTATTTTGTTTTGTTCTTATAGGCTATTTTAAAATGGAGGTGATCTGTTACACTCCTGGTCTTAAATTTCAGCACTACTCTGTGGTCAAGTGCTCAGTGCTGATCAAAAGTTATTTTCAAGATCACTCCTATAATAATCCCAGCAACTGAGAAGGCTGAAGCAGGATCCAAAGTTCAAGGCCAACCTGGGCCACTTAGCAAGATCCTGCCTGCCCTGCCTCCAAATAAAAAGTTTAAGGATTTTAAAGTGGCAGAGCACATACATAGTATGTGCAGAACTCTAGGTTCATTACTCTGGGGGGAAAAAAAGTTATTTTTCCATAAGTGAATGAATTTCTCAAATGTTATCTTGTCTAGAATATGTTCATCTTAAGACCTATCTTGTTAGGTATGGTGGCACATGCATGTTATCCCAGCAATTTGGAAGTCTAAGGTGGGAGGATTTCAATTTCGAGGCCAGTCTCAGCAATTTTGAAGCCCTAAGTAACTTAGCAAGATCCCATCTCATAATTTTAAAAAGGGGAGGGGATATATCTCARTGGTAAAGCACCCCTAGGTTCAATTGCCAGTGCAAAAAAAAAGACAAAAACCTATCTCAATGGACATAATAAGGTTTTTGCAACACTTAGGACTGACATAAAACACAAGACAGCAAAAATGCTCTCTGAGTAAGAACTCAGAAGTGAGTTGGTTTGGAAGGAAAATTGAATAGCTCTATTCATGGAACAAAACTACACTGAAAAACATCAGGCATTAATAAGCAAAATAAGAGGAGTTGTGGTTTTTTTTGTTTGTTTTTAAAAAAGTCTTCAATCGTAGGCCTGAAACTGTCCCACCAGAACCCTAGGCCCAGACCTGACAATACACTTATTTTACTTGTTTTATGGAATTTTGATACACGGATGGTCTCCCCCAAAAGACAACTGGTTTGGGGGAGGGTGGTTTTTTTAAGTATTAGGGGTGGAACCCAGGGATGCTCTACCACTGAGCTATAGCCCCAGTATTTTTATATTGTATCTGAGATAGGGTCTTGCTAAGTTGCCTAGGCAGGCCTCAAACATGTGATCCTCCTGCCTCAGCCTCCTGAGTTGCTGGGATTATAGGCATGCTTATGCCAGCTGTGGAGGGGAGGAGAGGAAGAGAAAATGGATGAAAGAAGGAAGCTGAGGACTGCCTGATTGAATTGCTGAAAACAATTCATAGAGAATTGGGGAGCAAAGACACGTTTAATAATTTCACTTGCTTCTTCTAGCTCTTCATTTTAATCTCTGTCCCTCTGCTCAAAGGCCCCAGACACAGACATCCATGAGCTTCTCAACAGCCCACTGTGAGTTTGGGCAGGTCATTTGTATGCTGGAATACATGCACACAACAAGCTGGGCAATGGAATCTGTCAGCAGAAACCAGGAACTTCATGTGAGAAAGTAAGACTTTCACCCCTTAATATCCCCATAATTGGCCACTCTGTAATCTTGCAAGGGAAAGTATTCACCCTGGGAGTGACAGATCCATTATAGTTGTGTACAGGCCTTGAATAGGAAAAATTACTTTGAAGACATGCTGACCCATCTCCTGGAGAACAATTGCCAAATTCTACAGTTTGGAGAGGAATTACAGCAGCAAGATAAATATAAAGGCAAGGTATTCACTGCAGTTTTGTGTTGCAGTTAAAATTTAACCAAGACTGATAGCACCCTTCTCAGAATACTGAGTGCTGAACCCACCAACCACCAGAATGAAGGATATAAGGACAGGCTCACTTGAGGGCTCTCCATAATGAGAAGGGAGGCCTAGAGGCTTTGCTTCCCCTCTACTTCATGGGACACACTTTGCTCCACTTTGGCTTAGACTCTCCTACTCACCCTTCAAATCTCAGCTTAAACCACTTCCTCAAGAAAATATTCCCTGGTAGGCCTTTTTCTACCCCATCAGAAATTTTCATTGCATATTGATTGTACCTCTTTGTATACCTATTTGATATCTGCCTGCCTCACTACACTACATCCTGAGAGCAAAGAGCAGGCCTATACTATCTGCCATCAGCTTCCTGGTCCCCAAGACAATGTTTGGCACATAAACTGCCAAATATGTATTTAAAAAAGTAACCAAGTCAAAGACCACTATTTTTTTTTTTTTTTTTGCCTCTTATTTTCACATCACTTAAACTAGATCTGCCAGTCTCCCCAGTGTTTACATGGTACTCCCTGGATAAATCAAAAGTTTTATTAACTTGGAGCTCCTCTTTATTGTCAATTTCATAGAATGGTCCTTGCAAATACCACTTGCAAAAAGTGGTCCTTGCTAAATTGTCAAGAAACATTTCCACCAATTATTGAAATAAAATGATTTGCAAAGTATATTACATTGCCAGGAATGCCATAACAATATCACAGGCTGGATGGCTTAAACAACAAAATTTTCTCATAGTTCTGGAAGCTAGAAGTATGTGAACAAAGTACCAGAAGGACTAGTTTCTCCCAAGACCTCTGCTGTGTTTGCAGATGACAATTCTTGCTGCTTATTCAAATAGGCTTTCCTCTGACACGCGCCCCTGGTGTTTCTCTGTCTATCCTATTCTCTTATTAAGTCAGATTGGACTGATGACCTCAATTTAATCTGATCACCTCTTTAAAAAGCATTATCTCCAAATACAATCACATTCTGAGATACTGGAAGCTACAGCTTCAAAATATAAATTTGGTGGGTTCACAGTTTAGTCCATAACATAAAAGGAAACACAAGTAAGCTGCTATCCCATTAAGGGCTAAGGCACAATGCAGGACCAAGCTCCAGGGCAAGGCCCTGTTCTCAAAAAATTAGAG